AGATGACAGAAGTTCTGTCGAAACATGTCTTTTAAACTTAAAAAAGTGGTCGTTTTCCTTAAAATCTTTACATGTCTGCTGCTATCTAGACCTTTTAAAGCCAAAAAAAAAGTAAAAAAATATTTGTTTGGGCATTTATAATTCAAGACTAAAACCAATGATTTTAACAGAGATAATAGTAAAACACTATTTAATCATTGCTTATTAATGTAATTAGTTTGAGAGGACTGGCTGTAAAAACGAATGCAAAAACGGCATTCAAAACATACACTTGCGCGCGCAACGCCATAAATGATTACCCTATGGAGCCACATTAATTGCTACTAAGGCAAACAGTCCTGTCTGGTGTTTGTTGTGAATATAAGTCTGTATTTTAAGACACCACGTTTAATTCAGCTATGTTAATGCTCAAGATAGATGATATATGTAGAAGTGTTATCAAAAATATATTTTTCTTTCGGCTATTACGATTTCTACAGACACCGTGAGGATAAGAATGACTGTGAGGTTCTGGAGTGGTTTGAACTTATAGAACGGTTTATTAAGGTAAGAAATTTACTGTGATGTGCTTTTTAGCCTTCATTTACATGTAGACCCAATTAACTTTTGAGATTTTCTCCCTCAAATTTCGCTAAATTTTAGTAGGTGAACAAAGGCCTCAGAGTAGTGTGTCTTCCAGCCTTGCTGGTAAGCCTAGAATTTTTCGAAAAGTTGCCATATTTCGTCAGTCAAAGTAATGAATGTACCTTAGAATTTGTATGAAACTGAAATTCTGAGCTGCATTTTAGGGGACGTAGCACGCTTCACAAAATCGTTGAATTGTACCTTTCTGATCACGGTCGGCAACCTCCGCTCGGCCAAAATTCAATTTTGGCTCGTAGCAAAGCAAAAATAAGAAATTGAAAAATAATAAATTGCTTTTTTATATATATGTGCCAAACGCTTTTCACGGACAAAAAATGAGGGAAAATTATTTTTGGTCCCGAAGTCGAGTGGACCGCTCTTAGCGGGACTCCCACTTAACAAATAAAGCTAAAAAAAATTGATAAGGCTATGTTCGCATTGGACAAATGCATAGATCCAGAATAGATAGGAATTCATCCGAAGAGTGACACCATCACATGGCTCTATTCTACATTAGATAAATGTAGCTGATACACTCGATCAATGCAGCTATATCACTTACAGGCAATGATTGCTTTCTTCCACATCAAAATCCTGAAAGTAAATGTTCATCGACCAGCCTTCTGGAATAGGATATGCGGATATATTGTCCGTATTCCTTGGGTAGCTGTAAGGATATCCTTCACTGGTGAGAAAGCCGATCTCTGGGCCATATTCTGTTAATACAAAGACGATTTTTGTATGATTCTTCAACGTTACAAGGCGCACATTTTTACCGACATTTTAGGGGAATGGACATCCATTAACGAAGGCCTAGCAAAAATCTCTCCTAGCTTAATTTAAACCAAACTTGATATGGCTTGAAGGATGAGAATTCATATTTACTTTATTCGACTGTTATATAATAAAGATGAGTAAAGAATGGGTTAAAACTGTTCTCATGGACGTCTTCAAAGTTTGGACATCGAGCTTTAGATTTAGCAATTGAGTACTTTTTACGTGTTTATGTAGCCTCGTCTAAACACGTGAGGGGCTGGGAGATTCGAGGACTACGTTACATTCCTTACTTTACAGTACTTACACCGCAGTTACAGTACAACATTTATCTACTGCTTATTTGGTTATACTTACGCACTTACATTCTGGTACTTTTTCCCCTCCCTCTATTGTATATGATATTATTTAGTTTTCCAATAACGTCTTCGATTTCTAGTTTACTTTAAAAAAAAAAACTCTAATAATTTCACATTACATATATTTCTACCAAAAGATAATACTATTTATTACATTTGTTTGTTTTTTTTGTTTCTGTTTGTGTTTTTCTACTAGTTACCACACGATGTTAAAAAATACTGGTGCGCACTTTCCTATGTTTCTTAACTTCTTAATGATTTTGTTTTTAGTTGATTTGAAATATTGTGTCTATTTGGGGAAGCATGCTCATTATTAAAAGCGCGTACAAGATAAGAAACAACAGGGAAAGGGGAAAAGAAAAAAGGACACAAAAAAGACAAATTACGAAGGAGGCCGCCAGTTCAACTGTAAGGTTTTGGAAAAATAAAGAGTAAAATTAGAAAGAAATTGAATAGCAAAAGGGGAACTGTTAAAAAAAATGGTTGATTGAAGTCACAGTTCATTTGAATAGACTCCATTTCGATTTGTATTTCTTAACAGTGTTTGTCTTATAAGTATAAAATTTTTCGATTTCTTTCACTTGAGGAAAGTTTGTGAAAATACTTGTAAATTCGGGAGAGTTTTCTTTATTTTCGATGAATAAATGTGATATCTGCCAATTACAAGTGCATGGTGTAGAAGTATATCCTCTGTACTCGAGATAGTTAGTCAAACCCGAGACGCTGGTCGAGGATTTGCAAAACTTTTAAGAATTCTTTTAAGAAGTCCCCAAGTGTTTAGATGAAGCTACGTAAACACGAAAAAAGTACCCTATTGCTTTTATAGTGTCTCAAACGTTATGGCCAGGATTGAAGGCATTCAAGATATGTCCTTTAGTGCGATCACTGCATGAGATGTCAGTTAAATCAAGGGATGCTATGGCCAACGAATAGTCAGAAAGAACTTTTTCACAACAATATGGACAGCATGGAACTTCACTTTAAGTTAAAGTTTCCAACCCGTTCATTATTTGCAATACAGGGGCGTAATGCTTTGCACCCAGAGGGCCATTACAGGGCGTTTTCTCGAAGTTTACCTGGGGCTCACTCTCAAGCATTGTACTTTATTTGACAAGAAAAGAGAGATTAGGCCAGAAAAAAAGCTCTTACTTGTAAAATTGACTTCGAGTTCTTTCGCGTCAGTTCCATACTGGTTGATGGCCTGGCAGGTGTAGTTTCCACCCTTGTCCAGACGGATGGTTCCAGTGTTTGTTGCATTCACCAGTACTGTGGAGTTACGTATCAGTGTTGTGTATATGGGAAGAGTTCCTCTGGCTGAACATGACAACATGCCTCCTTGTATTGCTAACAGAGCAACTGGGAATGTTACCGATGGTGGAACTAAAAATAAAAAAGAAACAAAAAATAAATAAAATAAAAACCTAATAAAATAGAAATAAAAACCTTTTAGTCTTAATGTTCATTGACTGACCATACCTGCTTACATTGATTTTAAACAAATCACATCTTGCTGTAATAGAGACGCAGATTACGTCAAAACGTAGAGTAAGGTCAAGGTGCGTGCTCAGAGCAACCCATGAGAGAATTCTAAAAGGTGGCAAAAACATTGCCTTTAATGGCCTTAAAAAGACACTGCATGTCACTTTTAGTGTGCGAACGTCCGTGCAGACTTATTTTCGGACGACGTGAAACAGCAGGAATTAAGAAATCCGTCTACTCTCACATGCTTGTCTGCTCTCGATATTCTCCGATCCTATTCATCATTTCTTTTGTCCTCTGGGAGACACTGCTTTGCGAAGCGGTATCCTGAAACGGGTGTCTGCTACCTCTTGCGAAGTTGTCCAATAACGGGAGTTTTATTAATTAAGGGAATCATCGGGAAGGGTAACGAGACAACGATTTCGGGAAAAAGTGCACTTTGTTTTTAGTTACCTTGTCTTATCGATGTTTGTATCTGTGCCTCGTTCAGTGCGACATCTTAAACCTTCATTTCCGCGATTTTCCCTTTGAAATATCCAATGTCATCTTTAACCCCCATTCGAACTCTCTGGGAGGCAGTTGCAATCTCATAACCTGTGCCAATGTTTTGTGAGGCTCTCAAATGTCCATTGATATACAGCGAGTTATTTCCGCTGTTGTGATCGTAACTTGCTGCAACATGAACCCACTTTCCTGCTGGAAGAGCCTCAGTTGCTATGGTAGTCAGTGTTTGAAAAGATCTGTGTTTGATGATTTGATTAAGGAATTTTCCATCGACTGTAATCCAGATACAGACAGTGATACCAGAAACTCCATAGCTGAATAGTGGTCCAGCTTGGCTTAAAGGTTGAACCCAGGACATTAATGTGATTGAGAGCCGAGTGTCCAGGCCCCCTTTATTCGGAAACTCAATGTAGCTGCTTCCAGTCCCATAAAACATGTACGCTCCGCCTGGTTCGTTGTAGGGTCCGTTTGTAATCGCAACATCTCCCAGGACTCCCCTTAGTTGTCTGTTCTTTTTTTCTGTGGCTTTATAGCGAGCATTCAAGGGGTAGAAGGCGATAGGTTCTGGGACAGCTAAGAGTAAAACATAAATATTATTTACATCGCCAGAAATAACATGAAAATAAGACAGCAGTAAAAACATTTTATAGGACAGAAATTTCCGCGATGGTTCTCTATGGTCATTTTAACCCGCTTTTTGTAGTTGACCATTTGGTGTCGAATCTGCTTCTGTACGGGACTCATATGGTCTCAAAGATACCTAACGACTGGCCACAGGAAAAACGTGAGCTTTATTTCTTGGAGACCCTACCACTCGACACAAGGTTTATGGATGTTATATCATGAACACCTTCCTATTATTGGNCTAACGACTGGCCACAGGAAAAACGTGAGCTTTATTTCTTGGAGACCCTACCACTCGACACAAGGTTTATGGATGTTATATCATGAACACCTTCCTATTATTGGACTAGAACGTATCACGTGACTTGCTCCAAAACTGTTTAGCTCTCGATGGTTAGCCTGCGTAGCTGCGGGATTTTGCGCGCGAGAGCTTTTGTTTTGGCGGCGAAACCGAGAGTGAACGCGAGTGGCGATGCCACGAGGAAATTTGCGAGGAGTCAAGTTAAATTTAACTCGTTGGCTTAGGATAACTCACGCAAGAATACGACCACCTATGCAGGCTACCTCGTGAAGCTTGAACATGGTACTTTCACTTACCAAGGAATGGAAGACCTTTCGAGTTTGTGGAGGGAGACAAAGTTTTTGGTAATTGTTCCTTACGTGCTCGAGAAAAAAAACCTTTTCCTTTGGGCAATTAAATATTTCACCTGTCTTAAAGGAGGCTATCTCGATGCAAAATTCGAAAATTCAAAGCTTGGTAGAGTGTGTTGCAAAATTTCAAATTTCTGTCTATAGATATCGTGCGATCGTTGTTCATTGTATTGATTGATTCTCGATATCAACGTACTTCTATCGTCCCCAGCAGTCATTCTTACAGATACACGTCTACTCCCTCTTATCAGTTCTGGTTTTACAATTGTTCAATAAATATATCTCGTCTGTTCCTTAATACGTTTTAAAGTTATTATCTCAATCATAAAAGCATCAAACTCCATATCAATTAATTATCATTTCTTACAGGTTGGCACAACAGTTGAGAACTCCATCAAAAATCCTCTGTTTTGAATATTGTTGTCTGAGTGGAATTTTATCAAGACGTATTTTCCAGATACCAGAACTCTCTTTCCAGACATGTGACCACAGTACTTGCCAAAAACCCGATTCTTCTCATTGGTAATCTGTAAATAATCTTGGCTACAAAGAAATGAAAGATAAACAAGTGACGTTCTGTAACAGAGTCATTTCAACCTGGAACCCAGATTCTTCGTTCCCCTTAACCAGCACTCGAGAACCGAGTGACCCTGAAAGTACTTATTAGAAAACCGAAAATATCCCGCTTCTAGCTGAATTGCGAATGCCTAGATGAAAATAATGTGCCTCAATCAGGTCCCTGTTGTTTTACTTCTGGTCGCCTTCAAAGGTTTTCTTAAAACCAATCAAAATCGATCCTGCAACAGAACTCTCGAGAGTCAATCGCTTGCACAGAAAGGCGCGAAGACTCGAGATACGAACTTGGAGATCACTCGAAAGTGCATTACGCACACGCATGTCAGTTTTTTAACCATAATTTTGAACTTCGTAATGTTGTGAGAGTGTAGCCACTCATATTAATTCATTCAACCAATTTCCTTATGAGCAGAGTGCGTACTGAAAAGTCACGTAACTTCGTACTTGGCAATGTGTTAAGCTAAGTTAAAGAGTGCGGTAAGTGTAACCGACTGCCATTGAAGTTTCTCACTTTATTCTCATTAAAGTTGGGTCGCACTATCTATACTGAGTAAATTTATACTAGTGTTCTTATGCAAATACTGCAAGTGGTTTGGCTTAGTATTTTGTTATTCATTACGATAAATCTACTAAGTTCAATTCTATTGGCTACCCTCTCACTATCTATTCTGTGATAGATAGTGAGTAGCGTAGCAGTGTGCCCTTGTACACAAAATGACGGCCCCTTCTTGGCGTTTTCGAAGTGCCTCTGAAGAGGATTTAGAAAAAGCTTTGAACGCCTAGTAGATTTTTACTAAAACAATTAGATTTTTCGCTCTCGATTTCTATCGCGCTATAGTTGCTCCCTCGTCAACTATGACACGATGGCCGAATGTCGAGCTCGTGATCTTATTGTTTATTAGAACCTGAGATCGAAGAGCTCGAAAAGCGTAAAGGTCAGCCAGAACACACTAAAGACATGTTGTGGGGTCGTGAAGCGGGGACAAGCCCCTTCGCGTGTACGCATAGAACCCATGTTGCAGGGACAGTAAGCAAGATGGTGCACACCAATAGGATATCGCTTCATTTCTTTGTTATAGCAGGGACAGATTGCAAGAGCAGTGCTCGCGATTCGACAATCAAAACTGGGGTCATTATTTCCCTTCTTCGTGACCGACGAATTCGAACCAGCTGAACTTCATGCAACATTTTGCGTTGTCTCCGCAACATAAATAGATACATAATTTAAAAATAAATTACGATATCAAGAGAGGAAGCCACGTCAGCCTTAGATGGTTTTCATACGGGTCCTCTATTCTGGTCAAATTGGAATTTAGAATGTTGGTTTTCGCGGAGAAAGAAAAGCCGGAGAGCCCTAATAAAAATCCTCAGAGCAAGGGGAGGACCAGCAACAAACTCGACCTCCATATGGCACCTGGTCGGAATCGAACGCCAGCCACATTAATGAGAGGCAAGCGCTCTCACCACTGTGCCATTCCCGCTTTCTTTTCCGTGCTAGCAAAAATTTCACACTAGGAAAATGTCGCTGCAATGGGACCAACGCGTCTAACGTGTCCTCTAGTGCGTGCCAATGTTAAGAATCCAGATGACTATCTTTCCGCACGGTTTCTGTCAAGACTTGATCATTGAACAAATAATGATGACGATAAAAGTGAAATATTTATACAAATCAAAGCACCCTAGTCAGCCTTTGCCATTTTCGATGCCATCGAAATTACTGATTTTGCATGGTGATGAAAAATCTTATTGCTTTACTGTAAGTTGTGTTCCTGAAACTATGTTTAATTATCTTCAGTAGTTTCATAGTGATTTCCTTCGTTTCGACATGCTGCGAATAAAATATAATAGCCAAACCCTCGCATGTATACAAAAACAAAGATGTGGTTGATTATTGCCCCTTAACTTGCAGCTATAATTTAGTTTCAGAATTTTTCGTCCTTGTTACTAAAAAGGTACTCAAATCGGAAAGCATTCAATTGTTACTTGGTGATAAAACGAAGGATATTCAGCCTAACGCCACTTTAAGAACTCGAAGTTGTTGAAGGAACTGAGCACATCCTCACAGCTGAAAAGTTTCCTCCTACAACTTGCAATCAAATAATCAGATTAATACAAATATGACTTTCCTTGAAAAAAAGAGGAGACTTTCGCCCATTCAGGCTTTACATTCTGTGGAGAAAGTAATGCAGGTCACTGGACCTCTCCCTACATTCACATTTTGTTTACACACTAAAATTCAGTACTTACTCGCAAGATATACTATCCTCCAGGTAAAGTTCGTTAATAATCACATTAATCACCATGCCTTGTGGAATAGGAACCGAAGAAATACAATCTGTGTTATTTAAGTAATTTCTGGGATATCCGGGACTTCTGAGTGTATTTCCAATCACTGGACCACACCCTGCATGTAGAAATCAAAATAATAAAAAGACAGAGTTGATATCGACTGAACAGTTTTATTCCCTGCAATTGTTTCTTTCCATTGACCCTGAAAAGCCGCATTGGGGAGTGGTTAATTAAGATACTTTACTTTGATACTTATTTGTTAATATTTATTTATTTCTCTAACTTTTTTTGTCAGTCTCAAAAACCTTCAAATGCCTATCAAGCCACTTCAAGGCACCAAACCACAGATTTTTTCACCTCATTTTAACTCGAATAATGAGTTAGTTATTAATCCGGGATATAGGTATGGATGTGAGGTTCACTCGATCATTCGATTCCTGTTGGACTTTTGCCAATCCGCTGACCAGTATGTAAAGGGTTCGCCGTCGAATGCGCCGCGCGATACAATTTATTTATGAAGTGACTTGTTTCAGTGGCAAAGTTTCTCATTCTCAGATCATTTTTCATTCTCATGGTCGACAGGGTATGTATTTTTTAAAAATCAATTGTTCTTGTTTTTTTGTTTTTTTGTTTTTTTGTTTTTTTTCCATGACCTGGAAAAAAACATCACTTTTTGATGCCATCACATGCAATGCCATGCCATTAGATGCCATTGCAAGTTGCTTTCAGGGAAACTTCAGATGAATTAACAACATTTGGTATCATTTTCATGAGAACATATCACAAAGATTGTGAACGTGAAACAAATGCATGCTGGACGATTTTCCTCTCCTCGCGGGAAGGGATACGTGTCCCCTCCCTTTGTCTATTATTACTTACCATAAGTTTGTGTCAAATACTAGTCACAATTCAGTATGCATGGAGTCTGACAAATGGTTTTTGCGTGACGTTTGATGTCCCAAAAATTAGCGGGGTGACGCATGTTTGAGACGAAATTAGCCGCGTGACGCAGGACAGGACATCATAACCTGATGCGTGATTTGCCATTTTACAAGTACGTGACGCGTGATTTGCCATTTAGATTTCCTTTATAGGTGAATGTTCTTCGACCTAGAAGGATACCGTTCATTTAAGATAAATAGAGTCTTAATAAAGATCGATAAACTGTAGAAGACGTGACACCATTTTATGTTTTCTGAAAGAAAGTCGTCCCAAACGGCTGAAGCGATAAGAGACGTTAGTGTTTGGAGTCATTTTATGCCACCCGAAAAGACGGTTCTGCAAGCAATGAACCACTACACAGGGAAAACATTTGTGTACTACGTGCACTTAATGAAGGTCGTCATAAAGANAGGACAGGACATCATAACCTGATGCGTGATTTGCCATTTTACAAGTACGTGACGCGTGATTTGCCATTTAGATTTCCTTTATAGGTGAATGTTCTTCGACCTAGAAGGATACCGTTCATTTAAGATAAATAGAGTCTTAATAAAGATCGATAAACTGTAGAAGACGTGACACCATTTTATGTTTTCTGAAAGAAAGTCGTCCCAAACGGCTGAAGCGATAAGAGACGTTAGTGTTTGGAGTCATTTTATGCCACCCGAAAAGACGGTTCTGCAAGCAATGAACCACTACACAGGGAAAACATTTGTGTACTACGTGCACTTAATGAAGGTCGTCATAAAGACCTAAATGAATTCAAAAGCCACGTAATGGCATTCACAGACATTCACTGTCTGCTCCTATAGCAGTGTTCTCAAATTTAAGCAATTTAAGCATTTGCGCCAGGTTTTTTTCGTATTCCAAATTTCACCAATCTAATCGCGATCTGATCTTTATGAGGACATAAATAAAGACTAACAGATGAAAAATTAATAAACAAATAAAGAATAAACAGCGCGGCTATTATATGTACCTTTCGAACATTGAAGCAAATGCATTTTTTTGGCAGGAAGTCTACCGTGTGCCCGAACTGTCATTTAAACGTGCATGCATCGGCACGGCGGTAGATTTCTCACGTGCACGGTTTCCAAGATGAACCAGAGGTAGCAAACGATGTTGTCTTTTCTTTCCACAGCGGAGAAGTCACAAAGACAAACAGGTAACAATAATTTTAGGAATTAGAGTTAACAAATATTACGTGTTGTTCCAGTTCCGAAAGCGGCGATAAAACAAGCTGCATAGGCTGAATTGACCACTGTATCCGTGCCAGTAGCCACGTTTGCGTGGTGAATATGAAAGCAGTCTTCCTCGGGCGTGAAATGTCACTCATTATGGTCTTAACTGCAGCAAATGTATTTTCAACGAAAGCTTGAAAGAAGTCTTAACAATAAAATCCTTCAATAATACGATTGTTCAGAAAATCAGACAAACGAAACTACGAACTGCACCGAATTGATGTAGAAACGAAACGAGATCGCTGACTCTATTTTGATACTTCATG